CTCTGTCTCTAGGGAATCCTCTGGCCTGTACCCCAGTTCTTGTATGCATAATCTTTAAAAAAAAATAAATCTTTTCAAACAAACAAAAATATTATGAAAGGTGCTAAAAGAAAGAAACGGGAGGGGGAGAACTGAGTCAGGTTTGGACTCTGATGAAAAGATACCAAAGGTAAGAACTGAAGGTTCTAGAAAAATTAGATTCGCAGGCCTAGGAGAAAAGCATTCCAGCTTGGGGCAAGGGATTCTATACTTGCTTCCCTTTTACGACCCCCATTTCACAGATAAGGAAACTGAGGCAATGAGTCTAAGAAAGTGACATTGACCCAACCCCTGTTTTCTGCTGAAAGGAGGAACAAATGAACTGAACAGTCATTCCATAAACATTTTCTCACTTGCTCCTGACAATAATAATTTATAAAAAGATTTATCTATACATACAGAACTGGGGTGCATGCCAGAGGTGCAGGGGCTGAGAGGATTCACCAGAGACTTTGGGGGTCAGAACAGGCAGATGGAATGAAATACAGATTGAGGGGAGCAGCAGATGGGACAGGAGAGGTCTGCTGCGCCATGTGGGTCATCTCCCTGGCTGGGGACTGAACTCCTGCTGCATTGGCTGCAATAGCTTCAGAGTGCTGCATTTAACCTGCTGTGCCACCAGGGAGGGCCCTGATCCTGACAATATTAAATCTTGGCACAGATGATAATTTTCCCCAATTTATAGATGAGGAAATTATCAACTGTCACCAAAGGTTATATAGGTACTTGGTTCTGTTCATTCCAGATGGACTTGCTTTCAGATTTGAGCCTCATCTGTCCAGTTCCAAAGTCCAAGCTCTGCCCCCCAACACCAGACACTGGCTGGGTGTCTGAGAGAGGCATGTACCTGGCAACCAGCCCAGGAAAGGCATCCTGAGCTGGACTCACCAGCAGACCAGCATCCTGGTGGATTCAAACATATATTCCACACTATTTTATTTATTCAGCCGCAATCTTGAGAGCTAAGTCCTGCTCTTAATGCTGGAGATAAAGCAATGAGCACCAAAAAGCAGTGAAGCACCAGAGAAAAACCTTTGCTGTTGTGGGGGCTTATGGGCAAGTGGAGAGAGGAGTGAGCCAGCAATTATCATAGCAAACAAGAGAGAGGTGCAAAGGGTGAAGTCCCAGTGGATGAGGCTCTCCACAGCCACTGCAGCAAGAGTTCAATCCCCGGGCAGGGAGGTGACCCTCAGGGTGCAGCAGACATCTTCTGTCTTGCCCACTGCTCCCTTCAAAAATAGAACCACTTGGTAAAGGTCACGGAAGGAAGATGTATACTCAGGGTGGGGATGAAGGAAGCTTTGAATGAGGGGACTCGTGAATCAATTCAATTATACCTGCCTGCAAAGTGGAGAACTAACAGACTCTACTGTTGTGAAGTTAAATGAGGCCTTGGTACCTAAACAAGCCATGTTGCCTTGTCCACTTCTTCTAATAAACATTATCTATTGGATTAGTCAGCTTGGGCTGCTATAACAAAAATACCATAGACTGGGTGACTTAATCAACAGAAATTTATTTCTCACAGTCCTGGGGACTGGGAAGTCCAAGATCCACATACCAACCAATTTGCTTCCTGGTGAGGACACTGGCTCTGGTTGTGTCTTCGTCTGGCAGAGGGAGGAAGCCCTCCCTGCCTCTTCCCACAGGGCACCAACCCCAACTGGGAAGACTCTATTGGGAGGGCTGAGTTCCTCCCAGAGGTCCCATCTCCAAATACCGTCACACTGGGGATTAGGATTTCAACACATGCGTTAGACAGACGTTTGTTCAGTCTGGAGCGTCTGTTTTGTAATAAACCACAAAACCTCCTTTGAAGCTTTCCCTCGCCTGTAGGATAAAGTCCAAAATCATTATTACTTTTTTTTTTTTTTTTTACAATGAAGTGTTCCTGATTGTCTCTGGGGGTTGGCTATTGCTCCCCTTTGCGGCTGTACCATAGATTATGCTGCTTGATTTTATTATTATATTTTTTTCACTTTATAGGTTTATTAGGAAAAGGAGAAAGGAAGAGCGCTCCTGCATAGTCAAGGCGGCAGGCGAGCTGCTGGACTGCACTGGGCTGCTCGGCCACACTGCTTACACCCCAATGGGCAGTGGGTGATGGCCACACCCGTTTGATGGCCCCCTGAGTGTTACCTAGATTTTTAGAGTGATTGTAATAAAAGAGTCTTCTCTTATTTTGAAACTTCTGTCATGTTATAACACACCTCACACCTAACTTCAATAAAAAAAAATATTTTTTTTTTAAAAAGGAAGAAAGTACACGGGTGACTTGGTGATGGAAAACCCGCGGGGATTACAGTTGAGCAATTGAGATGGGGAAAAAAATGTATCAAATGATGTAAAAATAAACTGTTGTAAAATAAAAAAAAAAAGAAAGAAAGTAAAGAAGGTACCAGGAGACACAGTTCTCACCCTGCCCGTACGGCGAAGCGGCCATAACTGCTCAGGCTTCTCGGGGCTCGCCTGTCATCAGTTGTCTTTCCTGCTTCAGGTCTTCCCCATATTGTTTCCTCTGCCAGAAACCCTGAGTCCACCTCCTTTCTCCTCTCCCATCCTTGACCAAGCCTTGATTAGGCTTCTGGTCCAGGGTGTTCCCCTGGGAACTCCCACACCAAGGATGGGGTTCCTCTGCTGTGTCCTTCCTAGCTCCTTGAGCTTTTTCTCTTCCCAGGACTCATCCCAAGTATCTGTGTGATGTTCATCGTTGCCCCTGGACTTCAGGACCCTGGCGCGTCAGCTCCCAGTCTCCTGTTCACCACCATTGTCTGGGGCAAAGTGAGCACTTGGCAAGGTTGCCTTGAACAAGAGAAAGGGGCTTTGTTTTGACACATGAACTTAGATACTCAGAATTGGGACTGGCACTCAAGGTTACCCCCAACAGAAAGTAACAGCGAGGCCAGCAACAGAGAAGCCAGGGTATCCCGACACCCCAGGAAAGTTTCTGCTGCTCTAACCTGCCTAGACCCGGCTATTCTCAGGACCAGGAGCATCACTCACTGGCTGAGGGGACAGAGCACTCAGTGTATTTAACTTTCTTCCCATACAACTCATTCTCGCCTCTGTTTTTTATTCTCCCTGTCTATAAGAGAGAATTTAGGTCAAGTGCACTGATAAGCAGACTCTGAGATGCAAGTTTACATAGAGGATTCTTGGAGATCAGTATCATAGGACCTTAAAGTCTGGCTGCAGTTCCGACCTCAGCTGACCTCGGCTAGGACAGGGATAATCCTTCAGAATTATTTCAAATGGAAGCAAAAGGCCCAGGCCTTTCTACATGCCTCCCATCAACCAGTCATTGGAGACAGGATGCCTGGCAAGGCGTAACCTTGAGCTAAGCAGCTTCCTTTGAACTAGGGCAGTTCCTAGAGAGGGGTTCATCTAAGTTCCTTCAGCAACCAACACTCTCTCTGGAGTTGGGGGTAGAAGTGCGTGCCAAGGTCTGGGTTGCACCCTTTGGCAACCCAGTGTGGCTTACAGTTTCGTCACTGCTCCCTAGAGCCTTCATGTTCCAAGAAGGTGCTTCAGTGCGTAAGAAGCTGCACCCTTCTGCAAAAGTCAGACCTATTTCCTTGGAAGAAGTTGTGCTGCTAGGTTGTAAATGCTCTTAGAGGACATCTTAGTTCTCCTTTGAGAAATGATGCTTTCACAACGATAATTTAAACCATGGGCTGTATAACAATCTAACAACTGTCTTTTCTGCTAGACAATAAATCTCTAGGGGTCAGGAATCATGTTCATCTTATTCCTGAGCTGTGCTAGGTGAGCTTTGTTCATTATTTAGTCCACATAACTCTCCCGTGGCCCGAGGTAATTCCGTGGCATGGTCAAGGAAAGGGAGGAGGGAGAATGAGTAGCTTGTTTACAATCAGAAGACATGCAACATCAAAGCCCGAAGCCGACTCTGCTCAGGGGTGTTCCCTAGGCTCTCCCGAGAGGTTCCTTAGCCTGTAAAATGGGAACCCAAGTTCTCACAGGGTTGTTGTGAAGATTGAGAGATTAAATCTGAAAATACCTGCCAACCAGCACTCTCCATGCTACTGGGAAAAAAAAACGTGTTTCACCCTCATTTCTATGGCAGGAGAAACAAAGACAGTGAAATTACTCTACCCTCCCAGGCACAGAAGTTAGGTCAGGACCTGAATCCAAGTTTTGTGTTCCAATTTTGGTTTACTTTCTCTCACACCCTCTCAGATGAGTCTGGAAGGAAGACGTGTAGAATATTGCAAAAATGTAGATGGTAAAGGGAACAGGGCATCAGTCAGGGGAGGCTTCCTGGAGGAGACCCAGTTTTCATTTTATCACATCAATAGTGAGAGGATGTGGCCAGCACAACTCTTAACTGTTAATTATGATGTGGTTTTCCTGATCACCTTATTCAAGTTCCTGGTGCCCAGAGAAGCTTGACCCAGGTCACTGCTACTAAGTGGCATGCTAGGATCAGTCTAACTCCTTATGCTTGTCTCCTTGGTACAAAAGAGGGAAGGACAGAAAGCAGGTAACATAAATGGTAGGTCAGAGGATCTACTCGGTTGACCAGAGATTCACAAACAGCTTTGCTCTGCCACAAGGGATGCCCAGGCGTAGGAAAACATCAAGGTGAAATGCCACGGCCTTGGGGTCAGGCAGACCCTGGATGGAATCCTGGCTCTCCCACTCACTGTGACCTCAGCAAGGTCATTTTCCCCAAGTCTCAATCCTCTGACAGGATTGCAGCAGATTCGGACAAATAGTTTTTAAATACCCAAGAGGCGATAGATGGATGGCAGGGTGGATACCCAAAGGGTAGATTTTCAATGCCAGTCACCCCCCAGCCTGCAGTCACTAGGCATAAGTGCCCAGCAGGTTAGGGGCTAGCAGGTCAGGTCCATGATGCAATCACGGTTCCCTGCTTAGGCTAAGAGGTGAACCATGACCTTTAGGAAGTGCAAAAACAGCCCATTAACAAGAAGTACAAAACAAAACCTCGGTGAACTTTTATTTTTCATACGCAACTGATAGCAAAGCTAAAGATTTCTGTACGTGAACACTGGATACCCCTCCCACCCTCCTGGGGACATGGAGTCATCATGTCCCCTCTAGAATTCAAACCCCCATGCTGGGGCCTCTTCCCTCCTGCGGAACTTCACTGCAGGGAGGGTGCTGAGGCCTGAGGGGGTGCCAGTCGCTTCCCCATGCCCGCACGGGAATGAAATGTGGCACACTGACTGGGCTCCTCTCCTGCCCCATCCCAAAGAGGAGGGTCAGAAGCAGCAGCAGCTTTAGCCCTTGCCTTTCCTTAGTCACCCCAAACTGGTCAGAGGAGGTGCATACAACTGGAAGAAGGGCAAGGGAAATCAATTCACAGCTTGTTTGCTACAAAAAGTGCCTGGGATCAGTCCTTGGCTGCTTCTGCCTCCAAGCAATCCACCTAACATCAGGAGAGGGAACAGAAACTGGGTGGGAGGCCTCGAAAGGTTGTCAGGGGAGACTGACAGCAAGCACTGGGAGGGCCCCAGAGGCCTTCAAGAGCCAGCAAAATCTGCCATTTACTGCTGGCACACTGACCAGAGACTCCCATGGTGAAGACTCAGACGTCAAAGAAACCCAGCCCCGCCCCTCGGTCTGCAGTTGTGGAAATGGAGGGCAGAGCAGTTTGGCAATGAGGCCCCGGCCATTCCGCCAGTGGCAGGGCCCACACGAGAGTCCCGAGTTCTCCTGCCTCCCCCACTGGGCCACGTGCCGACTAAACCACCTAGAAAGGCTCAACTTTTTGGCACAGGGCTGTGGCAGAGCCATAGGAGACGGGAGAGGAGTAGTGATTTCTACAGAGCAGATGTAGTGGGGAAAACAGGTTTCTCCCTGTCCTGCTTCTCTCGGGCCTTGCCCAGCTCCAGGAGTGAGGCCCTGCAGAACCTTACCCATAAAGAACCAAAATACAGAGGATTTATAATACTTCCTCTTCTTCAGTGACCAACAGAGACCCCCAAATAATCTTTTTTGGATGTGTTTGGCATCTGCTGGGACCTCACAGCATCAGGCATGGGAGAAAAGAATCAGAGGACAGAGGCCAAAGGAACTGAGAAAGATTGGGGCAACCAGGAAAGAAGGGGCCTTCAGGCTGCCCGATGGAGTAGGCTTTGGGGAGTCAGACGCACAGACCAGCGCTGACCCTGGCTTTCACATTGATGGGTGAATGGCAGGTGAGAGGTATGAATCTGGGAATGAGGGAGGAGGAACGGCAAAGCTGCTTGGAGTGTCAGTCCCCGGAGGTGACTGCCCCACACCCCAGGGCCAGCCAGGGACTTCCCAGCCTGGAGGGCGTAGCACCCTTGGTGCCTGGGGCCCAGCCTGCTGGCACACCAGCTCATTTTCCTTCCTGCGCCCCACACCTCTGGGATCGGGCCTGGGAAGAAAGGCATAGCTCCTTGGGACCCACTCGTCCTCTCCCAGCTCCCAGACAGAGCTCAGCTCCCAGACTCAGTCTAATGATCCTGTCCATTCCAGTGAGAGAAAAGGAAGTGTGGCTTGGTGACTGCACGTCAGACATAAGTCCACCCCCAGAGTGGTGTGAGTGGGGATGGGACAGAAAGAGATGGGGTCTGTCTCCAGACAGAGGAGTCTCTGCAGAGAGGAGGATGCCCTCGGGGCTGGCTGCTCCTGGCCCGGGTCCCACACAGGAGTCAGGTCATGTAGCGGGTGATGGCGCGGAGCGCGTAGAGCAGGGCGGCTTGCATGCGGGCCTCCAGGAGCAGCAAGTTCACGTGGACCTGCAGCAGAAGAGGCGAGTTGGCCACTGAGGTCCCTCCCTACCCTCCGGTCATGCCTGGTCTACGCTGGCCCCAGCCCACGCCCATCACTCCCTTTCCTGGAGGTGTCCTGGCCTTTCCTGAGCACTGACAGTTCAGTGTGGTAATGTCTGAAGAGCGTCAGGTACCTTTATCGCTAATGTGACCACCCTCCACTACCCACCCCCACCACTGTCCAAAAAAGGCCAAAAGCAAGAGCTACTATGGACCACCTATTGGGATCAGGTTTACATTCATCTTCTCAGTTCAGCCTCCAAGTAACCTTGAAATGCAGGCGGTATCTATTCCCTTTGTAAAGCCGTAAAGTGCAGCAAGGCAAAGCGACTCGCCCAAGGTCATAATGCTACTGAGCGAAGTGCTATGATTTGCACACAGGTGGTCCTGGCCCCCACGGAGCCCAGGGCACTCTCACTTCACAGGGGAGCAAAAGCCGGCGGTCAGAGGAGAGGAAGAGTTGAGCCCAGGACAGTGTGTCCAGGTGTCCCCCTGGCAGGACAGACTCATTCTGGGTACCTCTGTGAGGTCTGCCCTCTTCTCCTCCACTGCCCCGGTTTGTCCCCTTCCATCCTGCTTCTTCTCCACTGGCCATACCTTCTCTGAGTGGCGAAAGTGCCTCCAGAAGAGGTTGTACATTCTTCGGGTTGTCTTCTCTGGGTAGCAAGCCACCGTCTTGATATAGACCTTGAGGTTCCGCTCCAGCAGCTGGTTCACCTCCCCATAGTCATAGTCATCATATCTGGAAAGGTCCCACAGCATCACATACCCTCTGTTCCCAGAGGCAGCTCCTCTCTCCACCCCCACCCAATAGACGGAGTTGCAATGAGTGGCAAGAAAAGGCAAAGGAGGAAGCAATTAGAAGCTTGGGTCTTAGAAAAAGAGCTGATGTCCTATGTCACAGGCCACTGGACTCACAGGGGACCACTCTGGAATCAGAGTGAATGTGCTGTGCTAAGCGCCCACTGTGTGCTTGTGAGCATGGACTCAGGGGTCTTTGAAACTTCTGCAGATGCCATACATGAAACATCTGGTATTCACCAGCCTGGGTTTATGGACAAAACTGAGATTCACAGAAGCAAAGTCACTTATCCTAGGTCACACAGCTGGGAATGGAATTCTAACCCAGCTCTGCCTGGCTCTAAGAGCTGTTTAGTAGTGTTTGTAAAGGTCAGGGAAGAGAAGGAAGAAAGGCAAAAAGGACCTGGTCCTCATCTTATAGACCGACAAAGGAAGGCTTGGGGAAGGCCTGTTTTGATTGTAAAGAGCAAACCTAGAAGCCACTTTCTCTCTCTCACACACACACACAGAGCCTAGTGACTCAGAGTGTCATCACAGTGTGATGGCAAGACTGGCTGAAAACTGAGGGTGGGTTGTATGAAGGTAGGGGAGCAAGGGCCATGTAGAAGCAGGGAGAAGCCTGGACCTGAGAACTGGCCACAACTAGCCTGTGCCACACTCAGAAGGTTGTCCGTCCGCAGCCTCTCTGGGCTGGCAACCTACCGATGACCCACACAGGGTCCAGGTTGACCCACGCAGTGAAGCATGATGTCCAGCTAGGGATACATGGAAACATACATCTTCAAAGAGAAACATGTACCCTTTTAAAAATGGGGAGGTTTGGGGGTATGCTTTGAATCAACTGATAAATGAGAAAAGCAAAAAAAAAAAAAAATCCTGTGTTCACTGAAGTGTTAATACATTTTCATTTGATTAAATGAGTAAAATGAGTGAGCAAAAAACCCTTACTTTTGTAAAAAAAAAATTATGTTTTGGCTATTTGGGCATGGGAAAAAGACAGGAAGAAAATACCTGACAACAGTAAGGACTAGGGGTGCGTGGATGGTGGGGTGGGGTGGTGACATCCATCTGAGGAGGTGTGACCCTACTCGCTGACATCACATACAGTGTTACCTCAATAGAGGAAAACACATTAAAAATAAATAAAATAACCACCAATTTTGCACGCTCACAGAGACAGCAGCGAAGGGTGCACATGTGGCGGCTGAGTGGCGCTTCTGGGAAACTGCTCTGCCCCTCACTCTCTGAATTTCGTTTTCCCATCATGTTACCAGAGTAAGATTATTTTTTTTAATAAGAAACAACTGGTTTGTATATGATCTTGATAAGTAAGTTTACATCTCGGGTTGATCTGCAAGGACTTAGGTATAAAGCCAGTCAGTGTACCTGGCACTGGCACTACTGAGAACCTGCCACTCCCGAAATATCCAACAGCAGGGAAATGGTTTGCTTATGCCACATCCATACTGGCATAAAAAATCTGTTTTTTATGCTTAAAAAGCGTGAACAATCTACACAAAGGGCAATTCACAATAAATGAGTCGGTGAAAAACAGTAACTTGTAGACTATATTGACTACTGTCCCACCAAATAAAAAACCTACTCAAAAAGGTTAGAAAACACTTGGCAACAAATTAAAATATAACTAAGTAACATTTTAGTGAACTTCCTTCCACACATTTTCCTTCCGTGTATACACCTTTAGTTTAGTTTTTTTTTTTTTAAAGAGGGAGAAAAAGAAGAATTCTGGCTGGTAGCTACCTTCTTTACTCTTGATGTTATTTTGAACATTTTCCCATGGCAATCAATAGACCTTATTTTCATTTTTAGTAGCTACACATTTCACTGTGTGGCTATGTCATCATTTAAAGTTTCGCTGATGGGCATTCATGTTGTCTTGAGTGATTGTGAGAGAATTGCTATTGGAATAGAAATACAAATCTCTCTTCTTTATATAACTATTAAGGAGTTTCATTTAGAAGGTTCAGTGAGCACTTACATACATCTTTTATAAATAAGCAAAGAAATTTCTTTTGAAAAACAGAACAGGCAGGCAGGAAAAGGAAAGACAGAAAAATGCAGCAAGTAAGCTGGGATGAGGCTTCCTCAGAGCACCGGCGGGACAGACGTGTGCTTACCTGATGCCGAAGACACAGTGGATGTAGTTCCAGATGGCCCTGCGGAGCACGGAGGTGTCCACGCCGCTGTGCATGGCGATGGTGTTGTAAGTGAGGCTGTAGGCTGCCTGGAACTTCTCATCCAGCAGCTGCCCACCCTCCGGATAGAGCCGCTGGATCAGTGAGTAGCCATGGTCTTCCCAGGTATAATCCTGGGAAACATGGAAGGCGGTCAGTGTGTGGACTCTCTGGGGCCCAGGGGGCCGGAGCGACCCCATCTAGAGCACATCTTGGCTTGGCATAAAGCCCCCTTCTCACCCCACAGATCTAACCCACTGCTTGGTCTGGGTCTAGGAAGCCAAGGAGGCTGTACCGTGTGATTACCACCTGCGAGCTCCCCCTGCTAGTCCGTAAAGCCACAGCAGTGCCAAGACTAGTGGGAGGGGCCTACCTGAGCACGGAAGGTGGGGGGTGCCTGAGTCCCTCGACGGGTGAAGTCCTCATATCCAAAAGCGGGGTCTTCCACAAAGCACAGCATGTCTGGGCGTGGAGAGGGCTCCAGGATGTCAGCTGAGGATGCCAGAAAGAGGTCACAGTGAGGCGAAGGCCTGGAGCACAGCAGCCTCCATTCCTGGTGAATCATCTGAGCAGAGGGCCAGGAAAGCCCCTTGGACAGTGAGCAGAAACAGGACAGCAGCAGGAGTGAGGCCAAGGAAAGAGGTAAATCAAGCCTGTGACCCAGTAACAAAGTATCCTGCTGCTTATGGAGTTGCTTCCTGGGCCAAGCTCTGCACTAAGAGTTTGCTTCTGTTTTCTCACTTACCCAACATACCAATCCTTCATGTGGGGTGAAACTGAGGCCTGAGATAGGAAGTGACTTAGCAGTGGTTAATGGCCAGAAAGGCTTTACAGCCCAGGTCTGTACCCCACGCCCTTCCTCTACAGCACACCTTGGCTCGCATAAAGCCAAGAACGTAAATATGCTTCGGAACACGCAAGGTGCTGGGAGCACCTGCTCCCCAACAGTAGTGCCTCCTCCCCAACAGAGAAGGGACAAGACGGAGGTAGCCCCTGGAACCTGTGCTCCGATACCTGAGGGGGTCACCAGCAGGCTCTCTGACTTCTCCAGCTCAAAGCGGCTCTCCATCTCCTCCTGGGACGCTCCCTCGTCTCGCAATAGGCTCTCCTGCAGCTGCCTCATGCGTTCCATCAGAGCTTCCACATCACGGGCGGCCTCGAAGCCCTGATGGAAACACCCAGCAGTGACCGTCTGTTCCGGCCCCCTCAGCGCTAGGAAACCACCCACACCTTCCCCACAGGTCAGGCCTAGTGTCTCTGCAAGCAAGTCACTGCAGCTGGCAGTTCACAGGGTCTCTACTTCCCAAGGTTTAATAGCCTACAGAACGCATACATCTTCCCTGAGCACCAGCTTCCCTCATAGGTAAGGGATTTTCTTTTTTAAGTATATGTATTTTTATATTAAAAAAAAAAAACAAGGCCGCGGGGATTACAATTGAGATGGAAAAAAAATGTACAAAAACAAAACAAAACAAGGCCACCTTATAGAGTAAGAGGCACATGTTACATTTTAAAGTGCTAAAACCAGGAGACTTTTAGCCGACAGAACTATAGACCAAGAAGCCAATCATCAAGCTTTATGAGTTCATCCTCACAACCCACTATGAAGTAGGGGTCTTTATTCTCATTTTAGATAAGGGAGCTGAGTTGCAAGTCAAATAACCTTCCCAAGGCCTCTCAGTGTGAGGAACTAGGTAAGTGGCTTCTACCCAAGGCCCAAAGGCCACAGCAGCATCCTATCCTCTGCCACCAGGTTGCAGGAAAATGACTTACCCCAAAGCTGTTCAGTGGGTCCCTGCTTGGGGGGCTGCTCTGCTCACTGGGTGGCGAAGGTGCCTGGGGGGCAGGGCTGCCCTCTGGATCCCCCTCAGGGAGAATGCCACAGCCAAACACGAAGGAGGCCAGCGAGTGGCAGTGGGTCAGCAGGACCAGGGCCTGGATGAGCTCAGCCAGGGACCAGCTGTGCTCGCCAGTCTTCAGCAGGGCCTGGAGCGGGAACAGGCAGACGCGCTGAGTGCCTGTCTCTGGGCCACCTGCCACCCCAGCCCTGCCCCGTGCTCTCGCAGCGACCTGCACCTCTGCCCACTGCACCTGGATGTGTTCCTTGGTGATGAGCCACGGCCGATGTGCCAGCAACTTGTTAATCTCACTGAGCTTGCGCAGCTTCTCAGGGACGTGGTGAAGGCCCAGCAGCCACTCAGGGTCACCGCCGGTCTGCAGAAACTCGTTCATGTGGGCGCCCACCAGGTAGGAGCACTGGTGGCGGGCAGCTGCCTGTGGAGGTGGTGGACAAGCCTAGTTACCCACTTACTTCTGTCCCACATTGGGGTGGGTGCCCCAGGGAGGCACATTACAGAATTCACTGTTGCCTGAGAGGCAGGAAACTTGGGTCTTAAGCCCAGCTCTGCCACCAGTTGCTCGTCCCACCATAGATGGGTCACCTAACTTGATCTCAGTTCCCCATTTTGGAAGGTAGGCACTAAGGATGCCTCTCTTTAAAAATTTAAATTTCCTGGGGCCCTCCCTGGTGGTGCAACAGGTTAAAGCACAGTACTGCAAAACTATCAGCAACTGTTTTAGCATGAGTTTGACCCCTGGCCAGGGAGGTGACCCACATGGTTCGGCAAATCTCTCTACTCCCACCCGCTGCTCCCCTCGGCAGTGTATTTTCAGCCCATCTGCCTGCTCTGTTCCCCACACTGTCTGGTGAATTCTCTCATCCCCTGCACCTCTGACCTGTACTCTAGTTCTTGTATACATAAATAAATACTTTAAAAAATTTTATATTTTTTAAAGATTTATTTATAAATGCATACAGAAGTGGAGTATAGAGGTGCAGGGGCAGCGAGAGGATTTACCAGAGAGAGTGGGAAACAGAATAGGTGGATGGACTGAAATACACTGCTGAGGGGAACAGCAGGTGGGAGAGATGGGCTGTACCATGTGGGTCAGCCCCCTGGATGGGGATGGAACTCATGCAGCAATGGCTGTGATGGCTTCATAGTGCTGTGCTTTAACCTGCTGCTACTAATTTCAAATTAGTAGTCAGTTGCTTCTTCTCCCTCCTCAGTGCAATCGGTTCACAAAGCCCAGTGAGATCTGAAGATACATCCCCTCACCCCCTACCTATGTTGTCACCCCTGCAAGTTAGGCTGGAAAAGGCTTACCATGATGGCAATGTAGTGGCGCCAGGAGCTGGCCAGGGGCCCATCTGTGTGCAGTAGCAGGTAGTGCAGGCGCCAAAAGCTGCTGAGGTAGTCGGGGTGCAGGCCCATCACCACTGCCAGGTTGTCTACACGCCCCGAGGACATCAGCGCCTCCAGCCCCAGGTGCTGCTCGAGGCTCTCAGGTCCCTCCCGAAGGACCTGCCAGACAAAGGAGGGTTGAGGATGAGCTGCTCTCCTGCCTCCCAACCAACCTGACCAACATGCTTAACATGCTCATTGTAGTGGGTCTGTAATCACAGGGAGCTGAAAATAACCATGTCTCAAAGAGAGGGGGCTAGGGAGGAAACTATATTTCATTAAGTGATTAAATGAATACTTATTAGATACACTTTATTTAGAGCCAATATTTACATAAAGCTTACTAAGTTCTCATTTAATTTGCCCATCTATGAATATAGGGTTCTATTTTCTTCATTTTTAGTTAGGAAAACACAGGTGCAGAAACTAAAGCACTGTTTCTCCTGCCTTTATAGAGCTTCCGTTCTAACAGAGGAAATCCACAGATCCACAGGAGGTGGGTGCAAAATAGTGGATATTTCTTGAGTGTGTTCCCCAAGTTGGGTCTGAATTTGGAGCTTTCCAGCATTATCTCACTGAAACCTTCCCAGGATTACTATTGTTTCCCCTCACTGATAGATGGAGAAAATGAACTTAGAGAGGTTGCGTTCTCTGTTCAAGGTTAAGGATCTAGGAAATGACAAAGACAGGATTCAAATCCAGATTAGCCCTGAAGCCTGCTTCTTTCCTTTTTATAAAAGAGGAGTGTTTCTTTTCAAATGAAAAAATAATAAAGTACGAGAACAATGCTGGAGCTCAATATCTTCAATGGCAGACCTAACCCATCAGCAGGTGGCCATTCATGGTTACAGAGGGTGGAGGGTAGGGTGGCTGGTTATTAACTATGTGGCCCACATATTTAGGAAAGCGAAGAGGACAAGGAAGCAAAGCATTTGTCTTTGATCACTGCAGCCAAAGAGAAAGAAGGAAACGATTATTTTTTAAAGTTTCTGTCCATATCTCTTAAAGGTTTCCTCATCCCCACCCTGGATCGCCAGGCACAAGATGGCAACGACCTGTATCTGTCTTGTTTACTGCTGTATCCCTGGCACCTAGATGAGGCCTGACACAGATTCATCATTCAATAGATTATCTATTAAACAAGTGAAACTGAACTGATTCAGTAGATGAAAGATGCCCATGTAGTAGTAAGTGGGTAAAAATAAAACAGAGCAACAAATAATGGTATAAACACCATGACCTTGATTCTGTATGAACAAACCTCCAGAAAACAGTGGCAAATGGTTAAGTAACAGTGATTACCTCTGGGGGTGGTGGGGTTATAAGTGATCAGAGCTTTCTAAAACACTAGAAATGTTTTTATAATGAACATATATTACTTTTGAAGTATAAAAAGCCTTTTTAAAGATAGGCAGTCACGGGTGAGAAGATAAACACAGACAGTTCTCTCTTCCTAAGGAAAAACAAGGCACTGTTCTGGGAATCCAGCCTGCTCATTGCCTAGCTGTGCTGTTACCACTTTATCTCTTTGAACCTGTTTCTTCCCAGCAAAGAGAGGTTGATACACCTGTTCACAGAGGTGTTCTGGAGATTACATGAGTCAGGAACCCAAAGGAGACGGTTCAAACTGCTATTTCAAGAGACAGGGAGAGACCCCCACCCACTCCAAACCCCTTCCTTCTAAGCTTACCTCCTCCACTGGGATGAAGGCGCTGGGCCCTCGAGGGCCTCGACGAGCCCGGCTTTCCCTCTGCTCCTAGAAGGACAGGACAGGCAGTGTAAGTTGGAGGCAGAAGGGAGGTAGTCACTGCTCCTACACAAGGGGCCAGTTTGAAATCATCACTTTGGTGTGTCCTGCATGGATGAGCCTGGGGGTAGTTACACACCTGGTTTCAAGTGCAGAAAGCATGAAGAGGGCTTACGCCATTGGCTGAGTTCTTCAAGAACTGGGTGGGGAAGCAGGAGCCCCAGCATTGAATAAGAGACGGGGAAAGGAACTACCCAGTCACATCTCCAGGAGAACACACACAAGACTCCTCGCCTTTGGTAGTCGTGGAAAGCTAGACTAGGGAACACCCAAGAGCCCTATGATGCAGTTTCATTTTCAAAGAGTCATTTCTCCATCCCTCCCATCACCTCAAAGCAGCATCACCTCAGAGACTGTCACCATCTCTCATCTGGACCAATATTCACTCTCCCCAGCCAGTGGTTATCCTCTTCCAAATGACCAAAACAAATGAGTAAACTTAACATCCTCCCCAAGTCCTGCCTCCAGGACAAGGATGAGGCAGACTTAGTGAGGACAGTCGAAAGAACAGTTCTAGGGAGGGTAAACTTCCTGCTGCCAGAGTAAACTTTCCCAAGTGCTGATCAACTGGCTTCAAAGCCAGCCACCACCTCCGACAGCTTTCCAGGTAAGAGTGTTCAGACCTACGCCCTCCCAATACCCAGAGTGAACTTCTAGGATCCTCTGGGGCCTGGGCACCTCTCCTGATTCTCATCTGTGACTACACAACTCCGTGCTTTTGCTCTTGACATGCCTTCTATGTGTCTGATTTAGGTCCCCTTACAACCAGGTTGCATTTTGTAGAGAACAGGGCCAGGTCATCCATAGCAGCCTGTCGTGAGAAAACAGAGGGAACCGGGGCAGTGCATAGAAGGCTGATGGTAGCGACTACTCTGGCGTGATGCATGTTGAGGAGCCTCTTTGGAAACCACCAGCATCATGTACTAAGTCTGCTCCTAGTCCTAGAGGTAGGGTTCAGGGAGGATGTTTGATTTATTCATTTGTTTTGATAGCGAAGGGGATGGGTCTAAATCCTGGTTGACTCAAACCAAATCCAGACTTAGTATCAATTCCCAAATGTTCAGAGAATTAAAGATTATAACCAAACCTCTCCACTCGGAGGGTGAAAAGTCACTGCCCCCCAGAGTGGCCCCTCTGGAGAGCTGAAAGGCCATGAAGGAAAAAACAGTGGACCTGGCAGTCCCGGTTGAGTACCGATTCCGCCACTAACCTGCTGTGTGACTCTGAGAGCGTAACCTAGACTCTTTGGGCCTTCACTGTGAACGAAGGTAGTTGGGCTGACAGCTCAGGCGCATTTCAAACCCTAGGCCAGGCTGGTTCAAGTCCAATAAAGAAACAACCCTGTTCCCCAAGCACTGTTTCAGCTTCCCTCCTCCCTCATCACAGAGAAAAAGGCTAACAGCACTGTCTGGGAGATAAGGATTGCTGACTCCACAAACTGAGCCTCCCCCTCAGGGGACCTGAGGACAGAGAGAAAACCACAGCCAGGTGGGGTGGGGAAGGGCAGAGCGGAAACGGGGTTGGGGGGAGGGGAGGGAGGGGCCACCAGAGGTGCTGAGGTACAGGGAACGGCCTTGGGAAGGAAGCCCGGCTCACTCTCAGATCTGCCTCGGGACTTCTCAAGGAAAAGGAGGTCCAAGAGTCTTGAAATGATAGGTCCACTGGACCCAGCAATGTTTTTCACCCGATGATGACAATGATAAAGTACAGTTAAAAGATTGGGGTCTTCAACGACAACTACCTGGACTCATATCACAGCTCCATCACCTGCTATCTGCTAGCTTTGTAAGCCTCAGTTTCCACATCAAATAATGGATAATAGTACCAACTTTCACAAGGCAGTCACGAGGACTTAATGAGATAACACCCATACAAGCCCTTATCTCAGCACCTCTGTGGCAGTAAGCACTAAATAAAAGTCAGCTATCATTAACCTCATTGCTATTTCAAACAAGGACTTCTCAGCTCAAGCAGTGTTTAGGTAGTATTTGACCAGCTTTAAAAAAAATTCCAGTGCCAAAGTCCCCCCTCCAGTAATTCTAGTTCAATTGGGTGGGGCCCAGCATAATGTATAGCCAGGCTTAGGGCTGCTTTTGCACCATTTCTTGATCACTTTCTTAAGCCTGACATACTGTGCTAAAAGCTTTCCAGGTGGAACCAGAATTAATCTGTTCATTGGACAAATATTTTTGCTAACTACATTGCAGGCAACAAGAATGCAGGAGTGAAGAGACAGTCTTCATGGAGAAAGACAAGCAACGAATAGGCTTTCTACAGGTATAGATTTTACAGAGTAAATGAAATACAGCAACGCGAGAGTGTATAATGAAGTGAGGAGTGTGCAATATTTCAGTCTAAGCAGACAAGGAAGGCACTGAGGAGATGACTTTTGAGTTGACATCTACATAATGGGAAGGCAGCAGGGCCTATACACCTGGGGACCAGTATTCCACCCAAAGGGCCCAGGAAGGACAAGGCCCTGAAAGGAAAACCAAGTCGATTTGAATTGGGATCCAATACCTTGAAATGATTCTGACCTTGATACCTAGAACTTCAGGGGAAGCAGACAGGGCAGGGTCCCACTGCCAAGAGGAGACAGCTTGAAATCAGGCCTCCCTCTTCCCTGGGGTAGGGAGTCAGAAACAGCACAGTAGTTCCCCCTGATTGCTACTGGCCAAGCACACAGATATTGTGCATGCACTTTAAGGTAGAACCACTGCTTGGGTTCCCATTTTACAGGTGAGGATTAAGACTCAGAGAGATCAAGTCACTTCTGGTCATTCCGTCAGAAAAGAGGTAGCAGACTTAGGATACAGACCCAGGTTTGTATAACAGCAGAAACTATTTCCCATTCGCTAAATTTCTAGAGGTCTCCATTGCCCCAAGGCTTTGCATCTGGGGTTCACCAGGAATGAGATGCGACCTTTAGCTGCCCCATCCCTTAGGAACCACTACCCCTGTCACATTGTTGTGTGACTGTGTGCTTAACTTGAGGGCCCACACTGGACTTCACGCCTGATTGTTACTGTGACTAGCACAGTGCAATCAAACAGAAATAGCTGCAGTGATGGAATCTTCTACAACTGCCTTACTGAATAAAGACAGTAACCCTGAGTCACTGTACCTCAACATTTGAATGTGCCTAGTGTAACTAACAACTAAATTTCTAATTTAAAAATGTTCAAATGGCCACATGTGGCTAGGGACTACCATATGGGACAGTGCCAAGTTCAGTACAACCCACAAAGGCAAGATCCCACCTCCATTTTACAGATGTTGAAGGGAAACTAGAGGAAGCAGGTGTCACCCAAGGTAACACAGCCAGTTTGGAGCAGAGGGGACATCAAAGGTAGCTTTTCCTATAGTTGCAAAGGAGCTGATCACATGGGGCAACAGGAATACTGAAGTCAGTCAGCCCTCTGGGCAACCACTCAGACAAGTTGCACAAAGAGCAAACACCTCAGAGCTTTGTGCCTGACTCCTAATTTAAAAGCTCACTAAACATTAATGTTTATATTAGCTCAGGCACCTGCACACAGGTTTCATCTAATTTTCATCATTTTGTGGGCAGAGAGGTGTCTTATTTTGCACACAAGGAAAGATTAAGGTTCCAAAGGTTAAGCATTGACAGGTGGCCAATCTGAGATTTGAATTCAGCTCAGTCCGGTTCCTAAGGGTTCTGTTCACCACCCGAATCAGCCCAGAGAGCAGACACATCCTTTATTCTTGGTATTGTGTCCAGAGCCTGTGACCCTCTAGGCTTCAGCTACAGACCACAGTAAGTCCCTCTGCCCACTAGGAAGGAGCTGACACCCCCAAGCCACTTCCTACTTGACAACTGTGGTTTGCTGAATTCCGATATCAACCTGGATTTACACTTGAGGGAGATACAGTCCAAGCAGCCCCCAGCCTCCAGCGATGGGGAGATGGAGGTAAGTGGCAGCATAAACTTGCGTGCCTACTATGAGCTGGACACTAGGCTGAGTGCTTTACCCATCTGATCTGCCACTCTCTCCCAACCACCACAGGGAAACAGTTCTCATTATCCCTTCCTCGGAGTCACTGAGGCTCTGAGTCCAGCACCAGATGGGCACAGCTCAGATGTGACTTCAAAGCCTGCACAGTTCACAAGGGTCAGCTAAGCCAACAAGGGGCAAGTAGTTACAAGCACTTATTAGGTGCTAAGAGCAGTGCTGCTGATGTGACCTACAGGGTGTTTCTAGTCCAGCAAGGGAGGCAGATAAGACCTAATTACACAAATGCTACAGTCTAATTGGGATACAAGCTTCTGGTTGAGAAGGGGGATTGGAAGAGGCTGTGCAGAAGGGACTTACTGGGGGGAAGAAAGGCTTCCCTTAAGAAGTAACATTTGAGGAAGTGATTCTAGAGCCCACACAGATGGAAAAACATACTACCAGCACTGGCTTGAAGCATCCCAAAGGTCCAGATTTCCTGAAAGGGGGTTGATGAAATGATGGGACTTGATTTGAGGGAACTACAAGTTTGGGTGTCCCCTTGGTCTTTGGGCACCAGGTTCTGAAAGTTCAGCATGTTTCTGTCTGTTAAGGATTCTGCTTAAAGAAGACCTCTTCCCAAGGTCCTCTTTTCCTGAGAGAATAAACAGAAATGGTTCAGACATCACCAACTTCCCATTCTTTCCAAATACCCCCCTTCCTTGTGCCCAGCCCATTCAGACACAGCACCCAGCCCAGGCCAGGCCACTTCCCAGGCCGATTCCTACTGAGCCCACCCCCTATGGCTGTAGAGTCAGGCTGGGGACCCAGCAGGAGGCACTTCAGGGAGAATAAGAGAAGAGTAAGAGATGTGTGTTCCAGCCTCCGATGGTCTGGTCCAGCACGCCTGAGGCAGTCACTAGGTGCCAGCCAGGGCTGTGCTTTGGCCTTTGCTTGTATTCTCAGTTAATTCTCCCAACAACCCCTCAGAGATACTATCAAATCCCCATGGAAGGAAGCTATAGATCAAAGAAGTGATCATTTAGCTAAGGCTACACAGCAAGTGAGTGGGAGGCTCCACCCGAACCCAGCACCCTGTGGCACTCAGGTGCTCTCAATATTATTTCCATTTTTTTTTTTCCCTTTCTCAAAAGGAGATAAAGTCAACAGATCTTGGTCAACAGAATCAGCAGCTGAGAAGTGACAGGAGTGGGTTTCATGGTTTCATTCCACACATGGGGCTCCTAAATCATGATGCGGAAGGGCAAAAAAGATAACAGAAAATCCAGGGCACAAACCGTCCTCGGCTGGATGTCCCCCCACACTCCCCCCACCCCTGCCCAGGGGTATTTTACAGGGGGTATCCTGCAAATCATGCTGCTCAGGTAGGGAGTTTCTCAGGGTCACAATTTAGGCTAGCACTTGTCTCACTTTCAAGCCCAGCCAATATGCCTGTACACGCTCCAGTGCCTGGAAACAAACAAGCAAAACTTCCCAGGCACCAAGCACATTGGAAAATTCTAGTGAGTATAAGAAGCCTCTAAGTAGACCTTCCTGGGCCTCAATGTTCACATGCTGTAAAATGGCAATATAGCATCACTCATATTTTGCTAATTTAGTCCGAAGGTTCAAAAGAAAAGGCACAACACAGAATCTGTTACGACCCAGGTGCTCAATAAGCCATAAGACATCCTTGACGGTGGTGATGGTGATGGTGATGGTGATGGGGTGGGGTGGGGCGATAGAGAGAGGCGAATGGTCGGTGGAGGCCCAGCCTGATTCCTGGCCTCACTGCCTAGGGGATCTCTGCAAAACAAACTTCTGGGACCTGAGACCACTTAGCAGGGTCCAGCATATTCGGCGCTTGGCTTCCGGAACCGCGGTCAGGGTTTCCTCCCTCTCCCCCCAAGCCTTGGCCATCACCGCCCCCACCGCGTACCCGCAGCTGGTCAAGGCCCAGGATCACCCATGCCCCCCTCTAAATCGGAGGTGCAAGAAGGGGAGGGGCACGAGTCGACCTTCGCTGGCCATTTCTCCGGGCCGGGAGAGGTTGGATTGGGGACGTATCCTAGAAAGAGTCCTTAGCCCGCCAGCCCCAACCCAGAGGAAGGGAATCTGCGGAAGGGGGCGGGGAGGAGGAGTGGTCGGGCTGCAGCGGCCGGGATTTGCCTGGACTTGAAGACTCTCGACTAGAGCTCAAACCCAAGATAACCTCGGGAAGGCTCCCTTCTCATTGGCCAGGAGTCCGAGGGAGCCTTGGAGGGCTCCACAACCCCGGGGAGGGGGGTGGGGGAGGGGGAGGGGCGGAGAGAGCTGAGGCTGCCAGTTGATGCAACCCCTCTTCGGGTTTACGCGCTCTGCTCCCCCTCCCCGAGCTCAGGGGGGGCTCAAAGACTTAGCTCCAGACAGCCCGAAGCCAGGACGGGGCTCGGCGTTCTCGGGAAGAGTGGCGTCGCTCGGCCCCGGCTTACCTCTCCGGCTCCCGGGCCGCCGCCCGGGGCGAAAGGCAGGTAGCCCTGAAGCTCCGCACGGCACTCGGAGTCCGCCACGATCATGGTGTGCGCCAGGACCCAGCCGCCGCTCGCCCGCGACCCGTGCACCTGAGGGGGTTTTGGACGACGCTCGCAGGAAACGGGGGCTGGGGGCCGCTGGGGGAGGTTCTAGAGCCCCGGGGTGTCTCTCGGGGTTCCAGAACGCTCCGTAAGCCCAGAATCCCGGGACGGCCGCGGCTGCGCCGGACGCTCCCTTCGTCGGGTTTCCGGAGCGTCCAGCGGCTTCGGGATTGGTCGCGGCGCACCGGTTTTCACCGCCTGGACAGCCTCGGAAGTCCGCAGTGGGCACGACTGCTCGCGGACCCAGCGCTCCTCAGCATCCCCCCGCGGAACTGCCAGCGCTCGCCGGGCTCTGACACCAGCAGCGCTGCTCTGCCCGCTGCGGTCCCCGGGGGAGGGCGGGGACACAAAAGCCCAGAGCTACAGCCAATCAGAAGCCTGTTTCCCGGGAAGGCGGGGGTAACCCCGCCCACTGGAGCAGAAGGCTCGGCCAATGAGCACCCGACAGGACCCGGGAACTCTGGGATCTGTAGTCAGCCTCCAATGAATGCTGCAAACTTTTGCAAAAGGATTTAGTCAGATTATTTGGCAATCCCAGACAAGAGTGACAACCCAACAGTCACTGGAGAGTCACTGGAGTTGCGCGATGAAACGGGACTTCATTTCTGGGCTGGGCTAGAGAGCCTGATGTGAAACCCCTTGCAAGTACGTTCTTCAGCTTTTCAGTTCCAGGAGGGACTGGATCCGGTTAGGAGAGATGGTGCCAGTTACAGAAATGAATGTCAGATCTTTGGAACTCAAAGGGCATAGACCTGACCAGGCCCTCGGGAGGACTCCACCTTAAAATGGACCAGACGCAGGGAGTCCATTTTATTTGTGGAGTTTCTGGAAAGTACATCATTCATTGAAACAACCTCATACCTACTGTCGCAGTACCCCTACGTCTGCTCCCTGTCTTCCATCTTGCTATATTGTCTTCCCTGGCTGCCACCGATCGTCTAGAAATTTTGTGGCAAGATATTCTGCTGTATTCGCTGCTCTCTAGCCACTCCTTCTCAGACTCTTCTCTCCTCCCACCCCTGGAACGTGGGTGTTCCCCTAGTTTCTGTTTTTATTCCTCCTCTCTTCAGACATATTCTCCCTCCCTGATCTCATCCATTTCCTGGCCTTCAACTCTCTGTCTGGGAGTAAATCTTTTCCAACAGCACCTCTAAGCTAAATTCATTTTCTCCTGTCCCCTTGCCAACAGATCCTCTTCTTTCACAGCTTTTTCTTCATAGCTCCACTTTTGTTTCAATTCTAAAGTCTTTGGTTACTCTGTATTCAGAATCCCCATAGGAGCAAGTGTAGACAAGATGATCTCCAAGGCCCCCTCTGAGATTTTCTGAATCTAGGCTTATGATTGCAAAGATGATCCTCTCATTTGGGGCTAATGCTTCCAGTCTCTTGAGAAAAGGAAACTAATCTCACCTTCTGTTACGTTTCCAAGGCACTTGGGCTAGACTGTAAGACTTGCCACACTCTGCCTCGTGTTGCAATTTTCTCTGCTCCTGTCTTAGCTGACCCTTTGGTTATAAGTTTCTTGAAGGCATGGTCTACACCTTGACATCTTGTCCTCCCTAGTACACTATCCTACAAACTATGTGACCTTGGCAACTGAATCTTCCTTTCAGTGGTATTCCCCTCTAATTCAAAGCCACCTTTTTTATTCTGTAATGTCAACTTCCAGATCAAAAAGCTTTACTATTATTTCATTAGCTACAGACCAAAAATCAGCCCCCCTAGATTGACATTCAAAATTGCCTCAATTTACTTATACACTCTTATTACCTGACATAATCCATGCTACTTGCTTGGCCTTTATATCTTCTGTCTGTAGTTCTGTCTATAGATCTCTGCCCCTTGAAATCATAGCCAATATTCAGTGCCTTCATTTGTATTTGTGACCTGAATGAAGGTTTCAAAATGTCCCTTCCCACAGAAAGTGCTCCTTCTTCAATCAGCCGAAAGTAATTTCTCCCATTCCTCAACATATTGTTTCTATCTCTTTATAAGCATCGTCTTCAAACTTGATGAAGGCTTATTATCATATCCATGTATCTTGCATCGTCCCTTCAACAATAGAATGCTATTGGCCACATTTGCAAAATGAGTAAATGAGCTCAGAAAGGTAAAACTTCATGTCAAAATCATACTATTATTTTTTTGACATCACCAGGCTATGTCAGAGCTTCTTTCAGACAGGAACTGTGTCTCCCACGAGCATGTAGTATATCCTCAATAAATATTTTTTAATGAATATGAGTTACTATTCTTTATGTAATAACCCCTTCAAATCTTGAAGGGAATGACTAAATTATTCCCAAGACTCCACTACAAAGTTAATAATTTTGCAAAAAGGAAAAGCAAGAAATAATGATATTTTGTAGTAACCCAATCTCCAAGAAAGAAGAGCTCAGAAGTTTAGATACTACCATTTACTGTGCTCCAACAATAATCCAGGATATATGTTATTTCATATAATTCTCCCACAGCCTACTGATGTTGGCATTATGCCCCCTCTTGACAGATGAGGAAACTGAGACTTAAGAGGTGTTTTGATCAAAGTCAGTCAGTTTGGTAATATGTAAGTAAGCATTCAACCCTAAGTAGGAGTAACTCTAAAACAGAAGCTCTACTGTACCACTGATGAAAGATGGACCTGAATACATATAAAGCAGGTTGGCACAAGGAATTGATGTGTAAAGCAGAATTCCAACATATTAATTGGGAGTGAGACACATAATTGTCAAGTGGCCTATAATTGATAGGCCAGCACACTCTCTTTATGGAAGTACCTCCAGGAAAAGCCAAGTTATCATCTGAGGGTGGCTGGAATCTGAGCAAAAGGAAACAGTGAAAAGATGAATCATTGTACCTGTTCCACTCAGAGCAAACCTGCTGGTCAGGGCTCTGTCTTGTTCCCTCTCTCTTTCATTCAGTAAACATTTATTGACCACCTAATGAGTGCCAGGCACTGTGCTGGCTTCTGAAATTAAGTGGTGAAGCTTCCAGCAGAGGGGCATGACCTGGTGACACTGGTTGGGCTTATTCCTCCCCTCCCCCAAGCCTGTTATTTTTGGTTCAGTACTTTCCTGTTGCCATTCTCCCTTGGCTCTTGCATCAGCTATGTTGAGGCCACTGATTGGCCAATGCCTTTATTTATTTATTTATTTATTTATTTTAATTCTTCCATTCCTGAAGATATATCTAGATTGAGCAGATTGAATTTGAAATGTTTTTGAGGTTTCTTCAGCATCAGACCTTTTCAGACTTTTAACCCTGGAGGGATTCTTCTCTGCTGTATACTCATCCATCCTGAATTAGTTTTCTGATTTAAAATTTGGGGATCACTTACCCATAATGGCCTTGTATTCCACCATACCAGGAGCTGTGATCACCCCAAATGTAATTTTCCGCGTTCTTGTTGTTCCATATTCACTCACCCCTCTATAGAAAACAACTCCTACCGGGAGCTTTTAAGAATGACGCCCAAGCCAACAGGTTTGATAAAGCCAAGGAGGACTCATTCTCAGTGGCTCTGTCATTCATTCATTTAATTACTGTACTCAGCAAGCAGGTATTGTAGTTGGTGCTGAGGGAGGCCCTTCAGCACCAAGCAGACAAGACCAAAATTGAAACTGTCCCCTGGCATTGTGATTAGGGGGCAGGGCCAACACAAATTGTCCAAAACAGAGCCAACGATCCCCTAAGACCCCTCCCCATCAGGCAACCAGGGAGCCAATATGTAGCTGTGTGACTCAAAATGAATCTTTTCAGCTCTTCGTGTTTATTTCCTCATCTGTAAAACAAAGGAATAGAAAATGCAATAGCTCTAACCTTTCAGAATCACTGTAGAGAATGCTGGTGTTGGGCAATATTTGTTACTGTGATTGCATACGGAGGACAGAAATCTTCAGGTTTGGAAAACCTCAGTCTCCCTCTTAATAAATAAAACACGAAAACTGACCAGCTGGGTACTTTGGGATACTTTACTAAGAATTCCAGTTTGTTTTGTCGGCTGAGTGAGCCCTTAGCGCCCCCTGCAGGTAGAACCTTGCTACAGCTCAGAATGAACTGGTAGAAAAGGTAGATTGAGGGCGGGCCCCAAACGGTTCTGTTTTTAGCGTTGTGGAAATCGACCGCCTTCTGGTCCTGAAAAGAGGTCAGGCAACAGATGGAGATCGTGTGGTTACTTGGAGGGTTCCCCGTGCAACAACAGGGTTAGGATTCCGGCAGGAATAAGACTCCCCAAAGACTTTTCATCTTGAATGCTCTTGCCTGAACGCACTCCCCATTATAGGCTGGAAGTCTGCAGTTCAAAGAGAAGTCATTTGCGAAGGTCCCTCAGGAAGTTGGCCACAGAGAGAGACTAGAACCTTGGGATCCAACCTCCCCATCCAGGTAAGGCTCCTGAGAGACTGTCCCAGATGCCTTACTTTCAACTCTTCTGACTCCAGCTTTCTCTCCCTCACGCACCCCTCTCCTCTCCTGGAGGTCCAGTATGCCCCATTTTCAACCACCCAGAGGCCTATTCTTAGGGCCATGACCCCAGCACTTGGCAAAGCCTGTCCTACCTTTCCAACCCCTGGGAAGACTTCGGTGACCTGCCCCATCCTCACCCCCTAAAAATAGTTGGACTTGGAATTAGGATATCTGAATTGAAGATTCCAGTTAAACCCCTTTAACTACGTGAGTTCGTCATTTCATCTCTCTGAACCTCTTTACTGTTGTGTGAAATGGAAGTCAGATTTACCTACAATTGTTGAAGATGAGAGAGCTAATGCATACAAACCCCTTAACAAAGCTTGATGCAGATTAGGTGTTCAATACACTAGTTATTATTTATGTGGTTACTATTCTTCAAGCATCTAATGTAACTGGCAGATAATGGGGGTTCAAGACAGGCGGTTATCACCGTTAGTAGTTAAAAGTTTGGAACACAGAGCCTGGCATTTAGCAGGAGCTGAAGAGAGAGATTGTGGTGAGTAGTGCTGCCGTTTCGACCCGAGGGCGCCCGGTACACCGGCGGTTCCAACGTCTACCCGGTCGAAAGCTGCAATGCTCACTTCTTTTTGCTCAGCAACAGGCTCCTCTGACGTAAACGGCGGCGCCAATGGCCAAGGAGGTGGGCGTGGTTATCTAGCAGCCAATCGCAGCCCGCAGCGGCGTTCCGGCTGCGCCCGGGCGCGTTTCCAGGCGAGTTGGGGGAGCTGATCCCCTGGCTATTTTCCGGGCGGGGGAGGTCTCCAAATTCACCCGGCTCTGCCTATCAACTCGACTCTGATTGGTGCGGCAGTGGGGAACCGCCTTTCTCCACGGCCCCCCCTTGCCGTGTGGGGGTCGGGATCGCCAAATCTGCTTTCCATTTC